TATCAAAGACATGCTCCTGGCTAGGCCCTTTGCTATCTCTAAGAAACAACCTCAGCCTCAGGAGGGGCAGTTTTTCCCCAACCAGAAAGGTTTTTTAAGATATCAAGCATCATAATACACAAAAAAATTAAAAAAAAAATTTTAAATATACCGTCTTAGCTCCTACTTTTCTCCCCCGCCAAAATCTCTAGTTGGTCTAGGGTCTCAATAGAGTACTTGCTAAGATATGGAGGACCTCTAAAAACAAATACTGCCTTTTGCAGAGTTGGATTGGACAAGAAATTATCAAGCACATTCGCACAATAGGCATCTTGGTAGGAGTGGAGTCTGCCCTCCCACCCGCCCCTGCAGAGGCTCCTTTCCTGAGGCTCAGGTGACTTCCCCTGAGTGTAGTTCTCTCAGGAAGCACTGTCCTTAAACGAACGCTTGATCTCCACACACCTTTGCTGCTGTATGGTAGCAGCTAAAAGTGAGTACTTCTCCATAAGGCTTTTGTCCTTACACTGATGACACAGCTGCCGTTACTCTAATGTCACTAAACATAGCCACTGACTCTTCCAGTTAGCACTCGGCGTGAGTAAATTCTGTGCCTTCAAGCAGAATTTACAGAAACGACCCTGATGTTTTAACTTTAAGATAAACTGATTTCCAGAGTGAGGAGCCCACCTCCACTTTTCATAATAAAAGCTTTATTCCTAAAATACCAAGGCAATTTTCATAGGATTTTATGCCTCGCATAGGAATTTGGGAGCTAGATCATCTGGCTCAACTCCTTCATTTTGTAGATAAGAGAAAGACTCTGAATGCCCACAGGCTCTTAGGGAAAGAGGCATTTTGGACTTAGGACTTCAGACTTCTGAGCTCAAGTCCAGCGTCCTCTCTACTATAAACTCACTGCCTCTGTCAGTGGATTATGCACAAAAGTAATCACATTCCCTCTTTAACACTTAAAAAGTCACATCAAAAACTGACAAGGAAAATGGCTCTACCTCCACCCAATTACCAACTACTTCACTCAGAGTAACACTTACTTCACACAAGGTTTATTTTCTCGTAGGAAGGTCCTAGGATTGGCGCACTCAATGCCATCCAATGCCCGGCACTGGACTGAAGTGTGTTCCACATCACTGTAGGCCTGTCCACCGAACTGTGCAATAGCCACAAAACCAAAACAAAACAAACTCAACAAAGCAAGTAACACAAAAATATACCTTTATATTATTTAATAAAAGCTGCGTGAGGACTATAAGTATTCTAACAAGGTTGAGGTAAAGCTGTGCTCAAGAAAAAGAAATTTAGTGACTTATTTCAAGTGATTTTAGATTGGTTCATCCTAAATGTACGTTGTTTAAAGAAACTCCTGCTTTTTTCTTCATGACTAGCTTCTTCAATAACATAGTAAAAAAGAAAACCCCATAATTTCGTTAAATGCCATTTAGAAGAGATGGACACAATATTAATACTTTAATTATTCTACATTTACAGGAAAAGGACCACAAAACTGAACATTTGGGAATGAATATTTAAAAAAGTCAGTGTGTGTTAGAGATCTGTTTTATATTCATTATAAATTAGCATAATTAGGTAAAGACTCAGGATGTCATTTGTCTCAGGACTTCACTTAGCCCACGAATGCACAATTATCAGGCATCTGTAGTACATCTATAGTATAAATGTAAATTGCAGCAAAAAATTTCAGAACTGGGTCTCTTACCCTTTGCTTAACTGAATTCTAGCAGAGAAAACACAACTGTACATTTTTTATTACCACTTTGTGTTTTATTAATATTTTCGTTAGAGTGTTACTCAAAGGGAAGGGACTAGGAAAAAAGGATGCCTCCTCCTCGTACCTCCACACCTCTCCCCCTACCAAATCAGGTGCCTGAGTGCTGTCAGTCCTTTAGGACTTCTGGGTGAGGTGAGAATTTGAGTGTCTTCGTGGGATAAACTTAGGTTTTTTTTGAGCAGAATCTTACTCTGTTGCTCAGCTAGAGTGCAGTGGCGGCCTCATAGCTCACTGCAACCTCAAACTCCGGGCTCAAGCGATCCTCCTGCCTCAACCTCCCAAGTAGCTGGGACTATAGGTGTGAAGCATGACTGGCTAATTTTTCTATTTTTAGTAGAGACAGAGGTCTTGCTCTTGCTCAGGCTGGTCTCGAACTCCTGAGCTCAGGTGATCCTCCCGCCTTGGCCTCCCAGAGTGCTAGGATTATAGGCGTGAGCCACTGCACCTGGCCAGGATAAATTTAGTTTTAATTCAAATAGGCAAAAGTGAGCGATCTCTATACATTGCTAACTCCAACTTCTATCAGTTATTATCAACAGAACAAAATTTCATAATATTTAAAATATTTCTCTACATGTGATTTCAGTATGAATTGCCTTTTAAATCTTATTACTGTCACGTTTATTCCTCTGTGTCTGATTCATTACATTAACATATATATTGCACTGTGGTGAAGTCAGGGCCTTCAGTGCATACGTCACTGAAGTAACACATCGTACCTACCAAACAATCTCCTATTATCCAGCCTCCTCCCACCCCGACCCCTCCGAGTCTCATCTCTGTGTCTGAATTAGTACAAAAAATGTTTTCCCATAATTCTCTTAACGCCTAAGTGAATCTAGACTTGCATTATGTAACATAATATAATGGTGAGTCCATTGTTGGGAGAAGATCCATAAACTTCACTGGTTTTTGAGAGACTGATCAGAAAGTCTGTACCAGCTTTAGGAATATTATTAATGGAACTGAATGGCTTCTTTCCATTTCAAGAAGCCATTGTTACTAAGGTTTCCCCTGGAATATTTTAACCTCCTACAAAGACATATATTGATAGACCACACCTATTTCCTAAGGACATAGTGGAACCTGCTTGCCTGCTGAAAAGAAAGGTCATCAGCAAGAGGAGCTCTGCCTCAAATGTGTGTGTGACAATTATACTGCCCAATCCATCATCAGTTTTAGAAAGTACATAGCCTTTCTTTTGCTTTCAGGAATGTGCACGCCTTGAAGGAGAGCCAGGGTGACATTTTAGCTTCACATCTGTCAATCTCAATGGCCACAGGAACCAAAGACAGGTTGGTCATTGGACCTGGGTGGTTTTGGCTCAGAGATCGCTCCTTCACGAGGAAATTGAATGTCTTGGTCAGTTACTGACACTGGCCAGGGAGGAAATTTCCAGTAACAGTTATTCTGACAAAATTTTTCAAAAAAGTAACTTCATACCCCTTATACTTTTCTGTAACAGCATTTAGCCAGTACTATTTCTCAGTGGGAGAATTCGTTTAAACAATAAAACAAAAACCCACCTTGAGACAACCATAACCAAGTTCTTGCGATGCAGTTGCATTTCCAACATGATCCACTGGGTCTTCACATTCTATAAATTCTTCAGGTCTGTAATTCAACAGTAAGATCATGATCACACGATCTTTGCAAGTTGCTGTTCACATGCACATAATCGAAACAGGCAAGAGACATTTCTTCGCCAAGTTTTCTGGGGTTCAGTTTCACTCTGCAAACCGTTTATCAAGCCAAGAGGTGGCGTCAATTAGACTGAAGTATAGTAGGGCAAACTGACAGCCACCCGAATTAACCTTTTATTAGAGAAGGGAGGTGTTAGTGGTTCTGTTTCTACATGGATTCTACTTCTGCTATGGCTTCATTTCTTCAATAGTCAAACAACCACGAGTCTGGGGGCGGGGCAAAATTTAAGCTAAAGGATTTGCAGTTTTCTTTGCATTTCCCAAACGCCTTTTCTTATGTGATCAAAAAGAGATATGAAAAAGTGGCTTGGTTCTGCAAGTAAGAGTATTGTTTTTAAAAAAAGAAATGCCTTGGAGGCAGAGAAAAGTCATTTACTCCATTTATGCCTCACTCAGCACTGGCACCTAATTAATCGACTAACACTTAACTAACGCTCTTCTTCGGCTAAAGGGCGCAGGACCGAGAAGGCACAGCCTCGTACCCTGCTTCCAGAAGCTATATGATGTCACTCCTCCCTAGTTCTCCTCTTTCGGGATCCCAAAGGATCTGCCACCGACACACAAGTCTTTTCCCTGCATAGGTGAGAGGAGTGAGAAACCTGTCACGACATCTACCTCTTGTGTGTTAACTATCAGGTCCTCAAGTGGAGGGGGTCTGGAAAAAAGCAACCTCCCCTCCCCCTTCCCCCAACACCCACATATCCCTGGTCCAATCTCCATATCCACCCGCCTCGACGCCCGGGTAGCTTACAGGTAAGAGCAAAGGATGACTGGAGAGTGGGGGTCGCCATATTCCCAGCTCGGAGCACCCGTGGAGCCGTCCGGGTGGGCGGCGGAGGTGAGCTCAGGCTCGGCGGTAGCATTTTGCGAGTGGCTCCGAGAGACACAATGTAGCAGCAGTAGATTCCCCAGCAGTAAAGCCGCCTGGCCGCACAGAAGTAAGTAACTCACTGGGCAACCACCCAGTACCATCTTCCCGGACCCAGTGGTGGACAACCTGCCTCAACTACAAACGCAGGTTGGCACCGCCGACCCCGGCCCTGCCAGGTCGAGCCTCTCCGCGTAGCCCCCTCCTGGCTGCCAAGCAACCAATGGGCGCGTAGCTCGAAGCTCCGCCCACCTCCACCAACCAACCAGAAAGGGTTGACCAAAGGGAGGCGGTGCTCCGATGCCGGGCGTTTCTGCTTCCCAGTTCCTCTTCTGGGTCTCTCACGCTCCTCCTCCTTTTGCGCCGAGTGCTTCCTCCAATTGGTTCCCTCGACCCCCGGAGTGGGCGGGCCTCGGAGCAGAGTGGGCGGGGTAGATAGTGACGGGGCGGGGCGGACTTGGAGCGGCCGGTTTAGAAATCCCATTCTCCCGCCAGGGACTAGATTTTTCCCTACGTCAGCGTAGAGAGCGCGATGTCGGGAGCGAGCCCGGACCGAGCTCGGGCCAAGTTGCGTCACCGCCGCGCGCGTGCTCGTGTCCGGGCGCGCGCCTCCCGGCCAGTCCTGGGGCCCTGGCGGGGCAAGAAAATGATGGGAGAGGCGGAGGCTGAGGCGACCGACTGTTGAGTGGAACCTGCGAAGTCAGCCGAGATGAGGTCGGGCGCGGGCTCGCCCTTGGGGCCTCGCCGTTTGCAGTGGTTGCTGTTGTTTGGCCTGGTGGGCCCCGTGCTCGGTGGGGCGCGGCCAGGTGGGTGTCCGCCCCCAGGGTCCTTGGGCTGGCGGTTTCCTGGGGCTGGGCGCTCGCGTGAACCTGTGGTGCCGGGCGTGGCGGCTCCTGGCCTGGGACCGGACCCGGGGCCGGGGCGAAGCCGCTCCAGACCTGTGGGGACAGTGCTCAGGAGTCTAGTGCCCCCAACCCCTCTTGGCCCCGGGCTCGGGTCTGCTTCCACTTCCTCCGCCTCCCGCCCTACCCCATGGCGCGCAAAGCCGGGTCCCCGGACTCTCTGGGGGCGACTCTGGGTCCGGCGCCGACCTCGGAGCCGACGGACAGCCCCGGAGGCTGGGCGCACGCCGGCGGTTCTTCGTGGCTCAGCTTGTGGAGTTAATGTCACTTGGAAAGAGCCTGAGAGGCGGAACTTTTGCTTCAGGCTATCCTAATTTGAGATTTCGACGGTCATTTTATTAGTAGAGTCACCGGTAGGTTCACAGAACTGAATTTGGGGAATGGGATAAAGGAGTGGGGGTGGGGGGAGGCGCTCATTTTTCTTGGGCCGTTTTTGTTGTAAGAATACTTTTTTTGGAAACGAAGTGCCTCATTTCTATAGCCAAACAGTCTTTTATCTGTATTGGTACTGGGTACGCAGTGTCTTAAATCCAGACAAATAATCCCTGCTCTGTTTAACTCATAGGATTATCGTAAGAATTCAGTCATTTGTGTGAAATCCTTTTTGGATTGTGAAACTTCCCTTGACTATGTAAGATATTTATATTGGAGATGCCTAAACATAGGGGAGACAAATTGACAACACTCTAGCTTCTTGCTGGAAACAACTTCTTTATTTATTTTGGCTTTTGTATTAATTATTGTTTGCATGGGTGTATTTTCCCTGTCGACGATAGAGTATAATGGAGAATGGGAGTTTTTACCAAATCAATGCTTTGAGAGTTGTTGCAAGGTGATGATGGAAAATTTCAGTGCAGGACTGCTGACCTTCAGGGAACTAATTACATTTTTTATCTTTGGTTTCTTTTTAAATTAAACATATTCGCCCCAGTGCAGAAATTGAATGGGAAATTGCCAAATCTTTTCTTGGTGAAACTACTTTTCCTGTGGTATTCTAGATGGTTAACATTCACTAATATATAAAGTGAGGTGGATTATACATCTGGAGTTTTAGTAATATGTGATTTAAAGATAAATAAGACTATATTTTTAATGTTAATGTATATGTCGACTATTACATACCTGCATATAGATGAATGGAATATCCTTAGGGACTTTGTGGCTTCAACAGGTTATGGCCATCCCCTCACTTAAGCATGTATATGCTCCTTCCAAATTTAGGCAGCGTTTATGGAACAACTGTAAACACCATGCTTAATGCTTGTGGAGGGGCAAAGGGTCACCAGATATGCTAAGTGTATGTGAGAGATGCTCGGGAAGGTTTTATAGCGAAAAAAGTATTCGAACTGGGCTATGTTGATGAATTTTTCAAGTGAAAGGGTGGGAATACGTTCTAAGCAGAAGACAGTTTTTGCAAGAGTATGGAGTGTGTGAAAGAACACGACTTGCTAGGAAATGATGAGAATGTCAGTATGACTTCAGGCAGTCTGTATGAAAGGGAGGGATGGAATATAAAACCAAGGTAGGTTGGTATCAGTTGGGGAGAGCCTTCTATGCCAAGCTAAGGGGTTTGGACTTTACCTTGTAGGAAGTGCTTTGGGCAGTGAAAGTTTTTAAGTAGGAGTGTGACTTAATCACATTTTCTGTTAAGAAAACTGGCCACTCAACGGAGGTTAGAATCTAAGAGGGAGAGACTGGAGGCTGGGTGATCAGTTAAGAGGCTTTTGTAATAGTGTGCAGTGAGTCAACTCATGTTTCCCTAAGGGAATGTTCGTCCAAAATCAGCTGACTAAATTTTTGCAATACAGGATGTTTAAAACATGCACTGAAACTTTTTGCCCTAATGAAAGAGGAATTCGAGGACTCAGTAAGTACCACCCCCACATTAGTTACATTAGGAGTTCAGCAGGTTTTAGTAGGATTTTTACTACCATTTATAACATTGTGTCAAGGAGGAAATGGAGTATAATTTCCAAACAGCTGACTTACAATAAGCTTTTTTTTTTTAAAAACTAGGGCTGACAAAGGTAACTTTGTATCATTGTAAAAAATAACAAGGGGAATCAGGTATGAAACCTCTCCTCATTTTCTAAGGTAGTAATTATGACGCACAGACTTAGAATTTTTTTTTTACAAAGACTAGCGTTCTAAAGAAAATGAATTTGAAAGCTTACTCATGGTGAATCACTGTAAAATAAAGTGTACAGTAAAAACTTAGGTCTATACTAATCTATTTGTAGTTATCACCAAATTATTTGAATTTGATGTTTGTGTTTGTGCTGTATAGGAGAATGTTGTCTTTTAAATTTAAAGATGGTTTGTTTTTCAAACTAAGTAAAAAAGAAAGCATTTATAATTGAAATATGTACAACACTGGTTGCTGGGTTCCAAGACAGTTTTTAAAAGCACTTTAAATTTTACCTTACCAAATTTATATTTGCTATTTGTTAAAAATCCTGGCTTGTAATAGAAATTATTATAGAATCCCCCAAAGAATGCAAGCTCTAAGTAACTGGAAGATTTTTCTTGAAATATCCCCAAGTTCAAACATATGACATAGATAGCCTCTTGATATTTTTTTTTTCCTTTGATACCTACTGTATACCAGAGCCTTGTAGTTAAGCCATCCTTTCAGTCAGTTATGAGACTGCCTCAGATGAATATAGTCCTCTTGGTATCTCAATAATTAATCCCTCATTCCCTTTAAATGATACAAGGTGGACCAAACTAAAGTTGAATTGCACAATGTTGTTGGTCAGATCATTTTTCCAAAGTGATCATACGTGGGACACTCCTTGAATCACATCTTTTAAGAGTGAGTTAGGGAACCTGAGGAATTATCTTCATTTGGTCAGCTTTTAAATATATAGTTGTTTTTGAATTTGTATTTGTTTATGTTAACATAAAAATTAGGGTACTACAACTTATTATTAATATAAGTAAAGAAAATGATACCACCACTAAACATATGGGTGTATAACATGGCAAAACCCATTCCTGTGTATGGGAAATGCTGCTTTCCCTTTGATGCATTTTTCTTTTAATGAGATTTTTATCATGTAACTCATTTTAGGATGATTTTTCCCCCTTCCTTTTAGTAGCTCCTTAGCACCCTCATGCAAGTAGATCTCTGGTGAGCTTGCTTCTGATGAGCCTCATTGACACTTTGAAATCTGTTGTGAATTGGATTTGATGTGAATGTCAGTATGACTTCAGGCAGTCTGTATGAAGGGGAGGGATGGAATATAAAACTAAGTAAGGTAGGTTGGTATCAGCTGGGGAGAGCCTTCTGTGCCAAGCTGTGGGGTTTGGACTTTACTCTGTAGGAGGTTCTTTGGGCAGCGAAGATTTTTAAGTAGGGCCTGAGCTCCCATCTCAGCTGCTTGAGAAAAGTTGGTTAAGCAGTATGTGGCATAGCAATATAGTGAAGTATGTTATTGCTATTACAATGATGAAATGTGTCAGCCATGTGGATTTGTAGAAGAGACAATAACACATGTTAATCATAGCGAGTAAGACTCACTTTAGTTTGTATTTGATATTAGTAATTACAACTATGAAAACTATGTATGTATTGCTATAAAGATCAGAAGAGATTGCTTACTCGACACATATTTTGTTGAATACTTACCTGTATACCAGTGAAGGAAATAACATGATGGATAAGCTATGGTCCTTGGTCTCGAGGAGCTTAAATTCCTTGCTGGAGGAACTTAAATTCTCTAAGGCATTAAATCTTATAAATGGTTGGTGTTTTCTCAAAGGGACACTTCAAAACAAACAAAAGCTGTTTCTTTTTAAATGTAAAGATGGATAAATATAAGAAAAAAGTATGACACCCAACAAATGTCACGGTGTAGGTAGGACATAGCAATAGACATTGTTAAGTATGTTTGAAGGTAGTTATTAATATGTGATATGTGTTTATTTGGGATTGACTTTGTGAATACTAGAATGAAAATACGTAGCTCAAAATAACAGTGCTTTATGGATCTGATTATAAGAATTTCTCTTCAAGAAATACTTCGAACAGAATTATCTTATTCATTCTGAATGTGGAGTCCAGGTTTATTTTCTACAGTGAAAGTAACTTGAAGGTGGCTATTTGTTTACATAATGGGCAGGAAGGAAAGGAGAAAGGCCCAGGATTTGGAGTTCACATTTGTTTGCTTTGCAATTAGGTAGAATTCTTTTAACTTATTTCCTTCTACTTACAGTTACTGTTATGAAAAACGTACTTAGACTTCCTCTAAAATGCAGCACTGTGCATAGAAAGATTTAAGGAGTTAGAGGGAGAAAGGAGTGCAGCTAACACTTTTCTTTTACTAAATTTAGGACACTTTAACTTTAATGTTTCGACTCTTATTTTTATCTTCAGCTCATGTTTTCTAGTACTGTGATTGTGACGGTATGCTTTTTCTGTCAAATTCTAATAGAGTAGTTTGTATTCCTTGCAGAGTCGATTGTATTAAGATTTTTATTTTCATTGTGAGCTATATCTTTATACCAGTGGTTTTAACTGGGGGAGACTTTGTCCCCACAATGGGGGAAATAATTTTGGTTGTTGCACCCGGGGTTGGCATCTAGTGGTAGAGGCCAGGGATGCTACTAAACATCCTATGATGTACAGGACGACCCTCTACCACAAAGAATTTTCTGGCCAAAAATGTCAGTAGTGCTGAGGTTGAAGCTTTATACAAATAATGTTAATGTACTTCCTTTATAGTAACATGGGAAAAATGTTTTTTTGATTTCCATAAGAAGGTGCTACTATTTGGAATTAAAAAAAAATTAAAAGGAATTGGGGAAATATCCATGTAGGATATGAACAGGAAAAAAGAAAAAAGAAGCTAGAATTGGAGAAAAACAAGGAATTTTGAAAAGAAAATAGGAAGGAGAGTATTCATACAATTAGTATGTATTGTTTTTGAATGGCATTCCCCAAATACGGACATTCGCTATGATGTTTTGGAACTTTTTGTGACATGGCTTTAATTCAGAAAGTACATTCTTCGATTTTAGAAGTTTGAGTTCTACCGACTGAGTTCTCTGGGCTCTTGATTCTTGGATTTTAAAAGGAAGAAGTCAGTATCAGAATAACAGCTCTAACATATAGAAGTTATTTTAGGTTGCTATAATTTTGAAAGCCTTTTTATAATAAACGATTCATTGTGGCATTTGGTTTTCAAAATGAGAATTGTGTTTTAAAATGGGACAGAAGGAAAGAAAGTTGTATCTTACGCTCTTATGTTTGGTTTTTCTTCTTCTTCACTGGCAATCTGGGTAAAAGATTCACAGAAGACCGAAGACTTGATTTTGAGTCCTGCCCTGAAACTAGGTGTGTGACGTTATAAAGTCACTTAACCTGTTTGAAGATGAGAACTCTAAATATCCACCTGCCCATGAAAACTACACATGTTCTCTTTTGTGAGGCATTTCTTTTTCTCTGTGATGCTTGCTTTTGAGTTGGGATGAAAAAATTTCTGTTTGGTTGTATATTGTTTAGCTTCTAGTGTAACACCTGTCTGTGCCTATTAGCATATATATCCTTGTCTGTAATGATTTACTTAAAGCAACTTTTTATTTTGAAATAATTATAGAGTCACAGGAAGTTGCAAAGAAAGGTAGAGGATGATTTACCTTTTTTTTTTTCTTTTTCAGACAGGGTCTTACTCCATTGCGCTGACTAGAATGCAGTGGCATCGTCATAGCTCACTGCAACCTCAAACTCCTGGGCCCAAGCAATCCTCCTGGCTCAGCTTTCTGAGTAGCTGGGACAATGCCTGACTAATTTTTCTATTTTTTGTAGAGACGGGTCTCGCTTTTGCTCAGACTGGTCTTGAACTCCTGACCTCAAGCAGTCCTCCTGCCTTGGCCTCCCGGAGTGCTAGGATTACAGGCCTGAGCCACTGCGCCTGGCTCATTTACTTTTTATCACACTTAGCTTCTAATCTATTGTCCACTGAGATCATTTTGTCTATTCTTGCCCCCATTTTTAGATTGTTCTAGTAGTTGAACAGATTACCATAATCCAGAATGAAATTATTATCGTTAAGGATAATATTTAAGCTAGTGTTTTTAGAAATTTGAGAAAACTGAAAGTCATCGAAAGGCTTATTTTGGGTAAGGAAATAGTCCCATACCTCATTTGATTTAGGATTAAGGATACTTCTGCCTAATGATTTGAAGCCTGCATCTGTCAAGGCCATAAATTTCTTTTGACATGGTTTCCAGTTGACAAGTCCAAATATCTGAATGACAATTGATTCTGGTATGTCATAAATATGTCTTGGATCTGCCTATAGGTGCCTTCGTAAGAATCAGAGCCCATTTCTGGTGTGTTTACATAATGACGTGAAGCCACATTTAAATGGTATAATACGCCGTATTATAGAGTTATAAGGGGTTGATGGGCAAAGAGTTTGAAAACCATTATTATGACATGAATTGTATTGGATATAATGTAATTTATGTTTTCCTGTTTGTTTCTTTTAGTCTCAAACCAGACAAGGTTATAAATGTTTTTATATACAATGTTACCTTGGGAAAAGTTAGATGTAAATAATCCATCTTAATCTGTATTTGAGAAATCCAAGGGGTATAAGGAAATTAATGAGTGAATGAACATATAGATTGGATCAAAGGAGGAAGTGTGGGAGTAGGGAGACCAGGTGAAAAGGTGTCATAGTAATCTAGAGGTGAGGTTAATAAGGCTGATGGAAAGGAAGGAGTGGTTGGAAGAGATGCTAAATAATCAGTACTTTTAAAATAGTTTATGCTATTTTTAGCAAGGAAAAAACTCTTTTTACCCTTTTAATTTGAAAAGTAATTCAGTGGTGGCAAAATAGTAGTTGTAAAAACAAATTCAAACAATACAGAAATAGAGAAGTATAGGAAGTAAGAAGTCCAAGTCCTTTTCTCATTACTTCCTGGTTCTACTCCATCATAGCAACTACTTTAAATAGTTTGGTATGTTTATTTATGATATTTACATGTTATTTGTGACATTTTATAATTTCATATATGTTATGTGATATAGTATTTCATAAATACTGTAATACAGGTTTGTATAAAGTGAAAAGTATAAGTCTCTCTCTCATCCCACTCCCTGTAGGTAATCACTTAAAAATAATTATTTTATTAGAGAAATTTTTAAACATACACAAGAATAGAGAGAAGAGTAATGAACTCGTGTGTACTCATTATCCAGTTTTAATCTTATTTCGTATGTGTCTCTTCCCTCAAACATACACTGAATTATTTTAATGCAAACCCTAGACATCATATCATTTTGTCACTGAATATTCAGAATGAATCTCTAAGACATAAGGACATAAAACCTTACCTACAATATGCTTATTACACTTAAAAATTAAGTTTTTCAAATAATAATAATTCCTCAAGATCATCAAATATCTGCTCAATGTCAAAATTTCCTTGATTGTTTCAGAATTTTTTTAGCTGATTTATATGAACTAGAATCCAAACAGGTCCATACATGGCATTTGGTGATAAGGCTCTTTTAATTTATGAAAGTCCCTCTTCCCTCTTTTCTTGGCATTTGTTGATGAGTCTGAGTGGCAGATGTGACTCTGCTCTTTGTCACCTTTCAGTTTGTGTATACTGTTCTCGAGCCTCTTCATACTGAATGTGGTATTAGGAGAGGGGTATGTAGAGATGTGGATTTTTCATCTGGGGTCCTTAGATGGTGATTATCTTCTTCAGGTTCGCTGAAACAATTGTGATGCCATTGGTAATGATGCTGGAAGAAAAGAGATTGGGTTGGCAATTTTGATTATGATCATTTTTATTCAAGTGATGACTTTAGAACCCAAGTTCTGCCTAAGACATAACTGAATAAGATTGGAAGTGGGAGTAAGTCTGCATGACTATTTTGAGTTCTTAACTGTTAAATTTTGTAGAAAGGTTTTTGTTTTTGTGACAGATTAATGGCCTTGATTTCCTTTGAGACAGTTGCTACATTGTGGAGTGTATATTTATTAGAGTTAACCCATCAGATATTAAAAGTAACTTTTCCCACTTACTGTCCTTGTCCATTTAGTAAAGTTTTAGTACATTTGTGTTACTTTAAAGGAATACCTGAGGCTGGATCATTTATGAAGAATATTTATTTGGCTCACAGTTCTGCAGGCTTTGCAAGGAGCATGGAGCTGGCATCTGCTTCTGTGAGGGCTTCTGGCTACTTCTGTTCATGGCAGAAGGTGAAGGGGAGGCATGTGTAGAGATCATATGGCAAGAGACAGGAAGCAAGAGAGAGGGGAGGGAAGTGCCAGCTCTTTTTTTACAACCAGCTCTGCTAGGAACTGAACAGAGGAGAACTCACTGACCACACCTCCAACCACTTCCAGAAAGGGTATTAATCTATTCATGAAGGATTCGTCCCCATTACCCAAACACCTCCCACTGGGCCCCACCTTCCAGCGCCACCACGCTGGGGATTAAATTTCAGTGTGAGATTTGGAGGGGTCAAGCATCCAAACTGTAGCAGTAAGTATTTATTATTAGCAATATCGTCTCAGGGGATGTCATCATGATGAATGAGGGTGGGAAACGAGGGGTGAGTGAGGGACAGTAGGTTCTAGGATGCCTTCCCCCCATTTTCCCACCAAATCAGTCCTCCTTTTTCCCCCCCTTATACCTTAAGATTTCTTTTGAGAAAAAGGATTAAGGTTTATAGCTAAAAAATGTTTGAAAATAATTGCCACGTGTATATTGTTTGGCTAAAGGCTGGCACCCTTTTTTTAGGAAATATTTTTTTCCCTCATACTTATCTAGTAATACATTGCTATTTTCTTGCAAAATTTTATATAACACTATTTGTTTTATATGTATGTTTTAATATGAGTATGTCATGATTTTTCTGTGATTTGAACATTCAGCTTTTGATGTTCGTTGTATTTTGGCACCATATAGTTTTTCAGTTCCACTTGTTGTGTCAATTTGTTATTCCCTCTTCCATAGGCTTTCAACAGACCTCGCATCTCTCTTCTTATGAAATTATAACTCCTTGGAGATTAACTAGAGAACGAAGAGAAGCCCCTAGGCCCAATTCAGAACAGGTAAGTTATCTCTTAAGAAATATGCATGTATTTAACTTTTCTCCTTTTTCTTTTTTAACACAAAGGTGTTATTTGCAGCAGTGATTGGTTCAGGGAGTAATTAGTGGCCATTACTTAGTATAGCACTGTATGGTACTGATGTTCACTGGACATTGTGCTAGTGAAAGCAACATATTGAGCCTTAGTATTTTTTGTTAAAGACAAAAGGATCAACTGAAACATAGCAGAATGAAATGGTTAAATAGAACTCTGTAACTAGGGTAGGATGCAGACTACATAGATTTCTAACCCTTAACTGACTGGCAATGATTGCAGTGGTTTTATTATGATAATAAGAATTAACTTCAGTCCAGTTCATGATAGAATACTTCATACTATAAATCTTCACTGACACTGGAGAATGATAATGTGTTAAATGCATATATTTCGTATTTGGGAATATTTAATTAAAAATGAGTTGTAGTTCCATATTGGAAGAAACCTGTGCTGTTAACAGGGTCACTAATGCACAAAAATTATATTTTCTACTGTTTTCTCTTATTGTAAAGTTTGTTCAGAAATTATGTATTTGGACTTCAGCTGATTTTGCAAACCCCTCAACTTCATGAAAGTACAATTTAATTTTATTATAATTTAACAGTGACAGATGATGAAGGATGGAATTTAGCATATTACCTCTGAATTACTGATATACTCAGAAATGTAAGGCAGCTTGCGTGTTGAGGAACTGAGCATGGTCAAAGCAACACTAGGAGTGTTTAGAATCAGGAGCTTTTAGTTTTAGTCCTCCCTCTGGGTACTACCACTATTTGGGTTGGTTATTGAACTCCATTTACTCCTCTATAAGTGAGGAATAAATGCCTTTAAGTTCTCTATCTAGTAGAAAAATTTATAATTTTTTTTCTTGTGTTCGAACTGGACATTTGATTATGTTTTGCCTTAGAATAGAATTAATCCCTGCTTGCTTCATTGTTTTTCTCCTTTGTTCACTAGATGGTGGACTTTTTAGCACAGGGACTGTGTTTTCTACTTTATTGTGTCTCTGAAAGTATCTTCATCAGTACTATACACATCGATAGTTGTGATTATAATAAATAACTGTCACATATGCTTTGATAAATATTTGCAGAAGTGGTATGGTCAGCACATTCTGAACTGGATTTCTGCTCATTCAACTTATGAGTGTAATTTACACATTCAAAAGTAGTGAGTAACTGCTATATGCTAGGCACCGTTTAGGCATTGGGGATATGGCAGTGAACAAAACAGACAAAAATTCATGCCCTTATGGAATTTCCATGCTAGTGAGCGGAGCAAGAGACAATAAATAAGTAAACAATCTGTATTACTTACCATGGTGGTAAGTGCTATGGAGAAAATTAAAGCAGGAAGTAGGATAGGGAGAGCTAAAAGTGGTAAAGTAAGGGGGTTTGCATTTTTCAATAGCATGACCAGGGAAGGCCTTACTGAGGAGGTGAACTTTGAGTGAAGAGTTCACCTCTTTACTCAAGAAGGGGAGCAGGCAATCCGGGCAGATGTTTGGGGGAAGAATATAAGTATCACAAAATAATTCTCAGACTCTCAAAATTTCTTCTTGGTGGAGATGGCAGTGATGTGTTTTACATCATAGGATTGTCCAAGAGCAGCAAGGATAGAAAGGCACATGCCAAAGCTGTGGCGATGAAAGAAGCTTGGCATTTTTGATGTTTCAGTGGAGCCCAAGGTAGGTAGTAACAAAGAGTTCTCAGACTCCTACACAGGATGCGGACGTGGAAGGGCAGGGTCCAGAAGCTGGTCTAGTTCTTAGGAGTCAGAGGTCGATGGGCTGTTTCTTGGCAAAATGTTAACTTAGCGTCTGGAAACAGTAGGAAAAATGAAGTAGACACTTTGGATATTATTATTTGTTTGAGTCCCTCCATGACTTTCTTTTTTATTAAAGAACGTTCAGGCAAAGTTGAATCTCCTGATTCTATAGATGACATTAAGTACTTCTGCTAACGAAATGGTGAGTTTCTGGGGAAGTTTTCAGAGTTGTTTGAGGTAGAGAAGAGGATTCCCTGAACTTGGGGATGTGTAAGTGTAAGTTTCCTTATCTTAATTCATTGACTCTAAGATGCCATCCATTTTAAGAAACACTATATTATTTTATATACCACTAACAAAGAAAGAGATAGAAGTCTGCCAATTAGACTGCTATGTCTTTGTATGAGGTATCCTCAGTTTGTTAATGAACCCATGAGGGGAGTTCACTGTTGCTGGCTGCACAGAAAGCCAATTACTGAGACAATGAGGATTGTCAAAGAAGGAAGGATTTATTTCAGGAGATGTATGAACCGGGAGGTAGGAGGTATGGACTGCCTTAAATCCGCCTCCCCGTCCAACAGGGTCGGGGGTTTTTCTGGAGGTGAAGTGAATAATGCATGAGGGGAGCGAGCATCATTACATGTGTGGGGTGGAGTACAGGGCATGCAAGCACAGTGAGAAATCATGCTAGTACATACATCCCATGATCAGAACATGGCAGATAAGTCCCTCTCAGGGTGGGGATTTTAGTAGTATAATGAGCTAGAGGTTAATATTGATCATTCTTTCAGCCTTGTGCACAGGTGGGATGCAGGGAATGGGCTGCTCAGCAGGTCCTTGGGCATGATCTGTGGTGGGTGTTGCTTATCTTGTCTTCTCTGGACAAACAGCTGGTGTAAGGCTTTGTAGTTATCTCGTGGCTGCAAGGAGGCTCGCCGTTTCTGGAAAAGAAACCCGAAAGGGAATGCATCAGTGCAACAGAAAGTTACAATGTTCTGGTCAGTAAATCTAACTGAGCTGGGAACTTGAAATGTAAGAGAACTACAAAAAAACCAAACCAAAACAAAAAAACCCAAACTATAAAAAGAAGTTTTCTTGCTTATGGAGCTGGTTATGATTTCAGAGATGTTAATATGAAGGGAAAAAAGTGTTTTCGAATTCATGAAATGAAGTAAGCCATGTAAAGATATTTCATGACTTTATGGTCATGAAAGAGTATGAATTTCTTTTCAACTTTTGGATAACTAGAATTAGGGATAATCCGTTGGAATCAAGATGTTCATTTCATTTAAACAAAAGCAAGAACCACTTTATACTGTAGATAGTACTAGTATATGGATGGACTTGAAAAAAAAAGTCCCTACAGTTATAGCTGAATTATAAATGAATTTAAAAAGAGTTTAAACATGTAGACATGCAGGCGATGTCCCATGATTATTTAGTTATTAAAGGAAGGGATAATCAGAATATGTTTTTTATTGTTTAAGAATAGACACAAAGTTCTTCTATAAAACAATTCAGTCAGTACCAAATTATTTTAATTCTGGCTGGAATTTCCTGTGTCTTATAAGTGATGTGTTGTTGAAAGTAATTTATACAATGGTGTTTTATTGTTCTTTTCTCCTTCTCTGTATATTTAGATATCTTATGTCATTCAGGCTGAAGGAAAAGAGCATATTATTCACTTGGAAAGGAACAAGTAAGAAATTTAATTTACTTTGGCTTTTCAGTAAAATTTTTTTCATTAGTATATCGGTTTCTTTTCTAGTTAGATACTGTTTAGTAGATCCTGAGCTGTGGTATCAGGAGCGTGAGCCATTCGTGTCAGTGCTGCACAGTGGCAGATGGAGGAGCATAGCGGCATCTGTGTTCTGGCTGGGCAGGCAGCGACTTCCAGAGAGGAAAGAGGGCCGAGCAAAGCCAGGCATCTCCAGTTTATTCTTCTCAAGTTCACCCCTAGAGGGAGCAAAGGGTATGCAGGTGTTGGGGAAGGGGTTGAAGGGACACCTGTAATGACTGAGCAGGGTGGGATTATGGGAAGGACTCAAGATTCCACAGGCTACTGCCAAGCCTACTCCTGCAGACTTTAATAAAGGTAAAGCATACAAAACATCAGGACAAAGAAAGTGCAGGTAGTCATCATGGCATGGTCCCAAGGGTCCTTTCTCAGTTACACAGATGGGCTTTGTCTCCAGATACAAACCACTGAGATATGTGTGCTGCATTGTATTTTCAGGGGATCCCAGGCATAAGGGGTTTACCGAAGGGGTTTTTTTATGCTATGCTGGTTGTGTGGCTCAGGTCAGGCTGTGTAACCAATTAAACCAGATGAAAACCATCAATTTATTCATCTCTAAACAATAGAGACAGGCTGGTCCTGGGTACCTCCAGGGGAGTTTTGAACTTTAAGTGTGGCACATTATAAAGTACTAGTTAGTACAGTGCATCCCTAACTTGTCCTGCTGTAAGAGAACCCTGTCCTTACATATATGGTTTATACCACTGAGCTTCCTTAACATGGAATGAAGTTTTGGGGATCAGGAATAATTGTTTCCTCCAACAACTGACATAGAATTTTGTCTCCATGCTTAGGAGGTTAAGGCAGTGAATGCTTCTTAATTATATAGGATTTTTAGAAGAGTGTAAAAAATTTATTTTTCTTACTCACCATCAAATTGGTATTAACTGATGAACACATAAGTGCACATATAAGAATAACATTTATTGGATGTCGGGCAGGGGGGAGGGGGAGGGGGGAGAAGGAGATGGGTATACACAGAGAGTGTGATACACACCATCCGGGGGATGGACACACTTGAAGCTCAGACTTGGGGGGGGAGGGGGGCAGGGGCAACATATGTAACCCAAACATCTGTACCCCCATAATATGCTGAAATAAAAAAAAAAAGATTACCAATAAAAAAATAGATAAAATGTTAAATAAAAAAAATTTATTTTTCTTCTATAAATATGACCTACTGTCAGTAACCTAATTTATACTGTTCTTGTGAATTGTATCAGAAAAAATTAGGGACATTACTTATTTTGTCTGAAGTTTTTTGCAACCAGCATTTTATGACTGTTAGAACAAATGTATAGCTGAACAATATTTATGAGTAAGTCATGCATTCTACTTTAGATTCAAATCTTTATGAACTTTTAGTGTTACAGAAGCACATTCTTTAAATAATAATTTATCAGGTAAAAGTTTTTATTTTTTGCTTCTCATTTCTTCTAGGAATAATGCCTTATGAGTTGTATATTTAAAATAATTGCAGTTAGGTAAAATAAATTTAAATGGTGTTTTTATTCCTCTTCCAGAGACCTTTTGCCTAAAGATTTTGTAGTTTATACCTACAGCAAGGAAGGGGCTCTGCTCTCTGACTATCCCAATATACAGGTAAAATATTTTCCTCTTGATCCTACAGCAAAATTTAAAATAACTGTAATTTTAAAATGAGTTCTATTTAGGCACTCAGGACTGTTACATGGCACAGCCCCATGGGGCACCTTTAACATTATAATATATGAATTGTCCTGGGAGAAGTAGGTGTGTTTACATAGATTACACTATACCTTACAGCTCTCCAGGTACTCAGTAGTTAAGGTTTTTGTTTTTTGTTTTTCATTTTTTTTAAAGACTAGGAAAATAATTTTCTGTTTAATTATAATGTTTACTGATTATGAAGGAAAAAAGTTTGATAGGCTTTTGGTTTTTTTGTCAAAAGTTAATATCTGTAAAAGCACATCTTTCTTATTAAAACATTTGATTTGTTATTAGTGTTTAGTAAAGAAAAACACCGATTTGCTGTGATATGTTCTAGTGTCTAATTTTTCACTGAAAACAATTCCTTCCTAAGGAGGTGTGGTCCTCTCTGCATCAGAGAACAGAGTACTCCTGGGAACAGAACTGGCCAGAGTACTCAAAATAATTGTCATATGTCAAATTTGGCTTCATGTGTTTTTTACTTAGAGCATAAACTTTTCTAGCTTTGTTCTGGAAGAGTGTTTTACAGACATTTTTGGCAGTTAGGTATTAGACATTTTTTTCTTTTGCAATGGTTTTCATGAGAAATCTTTTTCTCAATTAAATATGTTAATTTTTTTTGTAACGCTTTGCTAGGTTGAATTGTTCATGTTAATTATGTACTTTTGCAGCATTTTTCAAGTAAGTAGAAGGCAAGATCTTTATTTTAGATTATTATTAGTACTTTAAAAAAAATAAGGAAATGCTGATTTAGCACTATCCTTTTCTGGTCCACTATCTGATTCCTTTATCTTAGTGCACTGATTGTCCATTGTTTAGTAGAGAGTATAAGTTTACGTTATAGCATAAACCAGATAAAAATAATCCATCTATCCATCCAATCATTCATCTAAAGATATTAAGACAGGAGGCCAAAGAGCACATAATTTGTACCACCTGACAAAAGCAGTAATCTTAAAAGACTTTTTTTTCTTATAGAGGTTTCTTGGCATACCTTATTGAGACATACACTGTTTGGGCTTGAATTCTGGCTCCGTCATAATTTGCTGATGAAGTTACTTTAAACTGTACCTTAGCATCCTCACTTTAAAATGGGAATAATAGTCACCACTTCATGGAGTTATTTGGAAGCTTAAACAAGTTAATACTTGTAAGGTGCTTAGAACAGTCAATCTGACAACTTTTAACTCAATAAATATTATTATTTGCTACTATTATGGAAAATATATGTACTTAAAACTGCAAAAAATAGATTTCAGTTAAACAGAATTTTATGTTAACTATTATGTTAAAGTACTGTAGACTTGTTATGCTTTCCTAGGTTTTTAAAAAAATATCCACTATGATGGAGTCTTTCACTTATTTCTTGGGTATTTAATATTGTTCAGGTATATGAAAGTGTGATTGTAGCTTTGAATATGAATTAAAACTTTTGATACAGGGATTTTTTTTTTTTGTATATGGCTAGATAGTCAAATATCATAATGAGATATACTTTTGTCCATAAAATGAAATTAAGTTACACTGAGAAAATTTAAATGCTTTCTTTTGGGATTCTATTGCTTAAGATTAAAGTAATTTATAAAGCAGTTATCTGGCTTTCATCATCAGTGTCTTTCACAAGGCCATTTTTCACAAAGAAACAATGTTTTAGAAAAACCATTCAACGTGAGTTGCTCTGTGAAATAAAACTCGAAATTACTATGTCCTAGAACTTTGGGGTGTCTTGCAAATGCATTAGAAATTCTCTCCACTAATTCCCCTAGTTAACTGATGCTCTTCGTTTCCTCCAAAAACATTGACGATCCAGGGCTCACTGGATCCTTGTGGCTACTAGGCTGTTTTCTAGCAGTTCTGCGCACTTCTCTGCACACTGGCTGAATTTTTCGCTTATGGTTTGTGTGTTATCAAAACTTTATTCCAATGGTACCTTTATTGTGGTCATGCAATTTAATTAGATGTTTTGTAAAAACTTACAAAATATGATTTGTTGTTTTTCTTTTGAGAACTAAATGTAATGCTATGGAAGTATTTCATAAAAGCAAGTTATTAAAAAATTACCAAATTGGTAGATTAAGTGGTCACCTGCTGGATGTCAGTCAGCTTAGATTAGAGAGCTTCTGTTATAGTTGTAACTACTAATGTTTTGAGTGTTAGGAGTTATACTGTTACTATTTCATAGTTGTTACCTCATCTGTACTTGTGGAAGGTATTTATTTTCCTCTAGTAAGAGGAAGGAAATATCAAAGCTAGACTTTAACTACAAAGCAGTAGGAAGAAAAAAATTGGTGGTTGTGAATTTCCAAACACTAGAGAAAGTTGTAGCTGGTTTGTGGTGTTTAGTGTATAATTGTTAAAAGACCTTAATTTTTTTCAAAATTTTATACTTATAGGGAAAGTTACATGAATAACACAAAAAATTCATACAGACTTTTCAACCTAGAATCTCCAAATGTTAACATTTTACTGTTTGCTTTATCCTTTCTTTCTTCCCTATTTTTTTCTGAACCTTTAAGAGCATGTTCCAGACATGGTGTTTTTTTATTTTTTATCCTTAAATACTTCAGTGTAAATTTCCTGAAACAAGGATTTCTCTTATCTAAACACAGTATACTTCTCAAAATTAATAAATCAATGTTGAAACAATACTATTTTATCGATCTTATTGAGATTTCTTTTTTCTGGGTCAGTTATCCTAATAATGTCCGTTATAGCAAAAGAAAATCTGAGTTTATGTGTTGCATTCAGTAGATGTGTCTTTTTAGTCTCATTTAATCTGGAATCCTTAGTTGTACCTTATATTTCATGACACTGGCATTTTTGAAGAGTACAGGGCAGCTTTTTGTAGAATGTCCTGCAATGTGGGTTTGTTTGATGTTTCCTCAACGATCAAATTCAGGGTATGCCTGTTTGGCAGGAACACCCTGAAGTGATATTGAATTGTTCTCTTTGTGTCCTGTCAGTAAACATATGCTGTCAATTAGCCCTATTACTTGGCAGTGTTAACAATGACCATTTGAGTTGCCTGCCAGGTTTCTCCCCTGTAAAGGTAGTTTTCACCTTTTAAATTAATGTTATGGTTAGATACTTTCAGACTATGTAAACATCCTATTACTCCTCAAATTTTTACCCACTAGTTTTAGTATTTAATGTTTGCCTGAATCAATTGTTATTATGATGGTTGTCCCATGGTAATTTTCTAATTTTTTCAATGCATCTACATTCATTTGTGCTTTCTGCTGCAAGGAAGTTTTCTCTTCTATTTATTTATATCAATATGGACTCATGGATTCTTATTTTATCATGAGTGAGATTGAAAATCTTTTCATATATGTAAGGGCATTTTTATATCTTCTTTTGTGAGTTGTCTTGTTCATGTCTTTTGCCCACTTTTCTATTGAGCTTTTAATCTTTTCCCCACAATTTTTAAGGGTTCTTTTTGTTTAAGAATATTAACCCTTTACCTGTGATGTAAGTTACAAATATTTTCTTCCACTCTGTCAGTTGTGTTTTGACTTTTTTTTTTTTTGGTGTTTCTTTCTTTTCAGAAGCTTAGACAATTTTTTTTATATAGTAAAAATTATCAATCTTTTATTACGTCTACATTTTGAGTGATAGAAAGTCTTTCTCTACACCCAGGTTAAAGAGGAATTCACCCGTGTTTTCTTCTGGTTCTTGTATGGTTTTATTTTTTATGTTTAGATTTTTGATTCATTTGGGGTTTATTCATATCATATAGTATGAGGTATGAATTGGATTTTATCTTTTTCAAAATGTTTAACCAATGGACTGAGCAGCATTTATTAAAAAGTGCATCCTTTTCTTGTCAGGCAGGTTTATTAATAATAAAAAAAGTGAAAAAATAAAAAGTGCATCTTTG